CAAACAGGGAGGATTTGAGGATCCCATAGATAGCAGAGGGATTGCACTGGTCCATTACTCACAGCTCTGGGTGGATAGTCACAGGTGTTGACTGGGTGGTCAAGAGAGATATTCATACTGAATTTGGGATTGCATGTTCAGTAACTGGAGGAAATACCTCTAACATTAAACTTGGATAGTTTCTGTTGCTGTGCCTTCAAGTTCACTACTCTTTCCTTCTGAAGTGTCCAATCTAATCTGCTGATAACCTTATTCAGTGTATTGTTCATCTCACACACTATATTTTTCATCCCTAAAAATTTAATGTCTTTATATTTTTTGTATAACTTATTAACATGTTTTTATTTTATCTTTTTGAATATATGTAATAGAGAATTTTTACTTTAGTGTCTTTTTCTATTAATTCTATAATCTGTGTCATTTCTGGGTCCACTTCTATTGATTAATTTTTCTCCTTATTATGGATTGTATGTACCTGCTACTTTGTATGCCTCGTAAATTTTTATTGGATGCAAGACATTTTAAATTTTGTATCCTTACATGTTGACTCTTTTGTATTTTTTTAAATAATTCTGACCTTTGTTTGAGATTCAGTTAAGTTACTTCGAAACAGCTTGATCTTTTTAAGGCTCTTTTAAAGCTTTGTCAGGTGAGAACAGAGCAGCCCTTATTCTAGAGCGAATCTGTCCCCACCATTGAGGCAGTGCATTTCTGAGTACTTCACGCAATTTCCTGTGAACAATGAGGTTTCTTCATTCTAGCTATTGGGAACTTGACGCATTCCTTGCCCTGTGTGATATCCAAGAACTGTTCTGCAAGGTCTGATGGATCCTGGTGAATTTCACCCTGTCCACAGGTAGTTTTTTTCACACACATGTGCTGATCAGTACTCAGCTGAGGATTTGAGGTCAATCTTCTGTGGATCTTCAGAGCTTTCCCCGTGTGCAATATCTCTCTGCTGCCTGCTCTGTGAATTCTGTCTGCTTTGCATTCTGAATGCTCAGTTCTGTCTTATCAACTTAGGGAGACTACGGGGTCGTGTTTTGATTCTTTCTTTCTGTGCTGCCACCTGGAACCTCCATCCTTACAGTAAACAGTAAACTCACGTCATCTGTTTCTCTTCTTTCAGGGATCACTGCCCTCTGCTGTCTAATGTCCAAAAACTGTTGTTTTCATTTATTTTGTCTGGTTTTTAATTTGGGTAAGGTGTGAGGGTAAATCTGATCCTGTTAGTCCATCATAACCAGATATGGAAGTCTTGTCTTTAATTTTCATCGCTAAAATACACTCAAAAACTTTATTCTTAACCCATAATTAATAAAGGTATGTAATTGTTCATTGGATTAATATGTTTTGTTCTGTATCTTGTCCATTTAACCCAGGTTGTCCAAGGTATTTTCTTTTCTGTTTCTCTTGCTAATACTTGTGAGACCAAAATATGTATCTTATTAACGTTTTTCAGCCAGACCTCGATAGCTAAAGACACCTCGTTAAGGAGGTGTCTTATTTACTCTTTTTGTATTTATTTACTATATTTGTAAAAATAAGACCATCAAGATTTAGAAAAAACAAAAGGAAATAATAAAAGACCACCCAGGTAAATAACAAATATTTTATATTTTATTCATTCTCTCATTTTGTAACATACAAAAGTAGACTATCTAATAAAATAAATTTAAAATCAATTATTTAAAAAATTTTATCTTTACACCAAGGTTGAAGTTAAATCTTTTTAAATTTATGTATGTATTTACTGCTTAGGACATATGAAAATTCAAGAGCATTGGTAATAAAAGAAAGCATTAGTTACCCAGTAAAATAGCAAAAGGTGTAAGTAGATAATTCATTAAAGAGGAAAGAAAACTAGAAATAAAGAGAAAATTGGATAATCTTATGAAGAATTAAAAACACAAAAATTAGAAGAGTATCAAAGACTCAGTTTTTATGCAAGCTTGACTACTGCCTATGAAAAAAAAAAAGAAAAAAAGAATCAGTTTTTACCTTGAACTTTGAAGGATAACTACTAAGTGGTAATGTCAGTTATGTGAAATATATTCAGATATATAGATTGTAGGGGTGAAAATTTAAACAAATACTTGCAAAACAATACTATAATTTTTATTAAAATTAAAAGTATTTCTGCCTTTTGAATTAGCAAGGTAAACTGCATCCAAAGAATCATGCTAAATAAATAATTTTAAGGGCAGGCATGTTAGCTCATGCCTGTAATCTCAGTGCTTTGGGAAGCCAAGACAAGAGGATCATTTGAGGCTAGGAGTTCGTCACCAGCCCAGGCAACATGGTGAGATTGCATCTGTACAAGAAATTCTAAATTAGGTGGCCATGATGGTGCTCCTGTAGTTTTAGTTACTCGTGACGCTGAGGCAGGAAGGTCGCTTGAGCCCTGGAATTGGAGGTTGCAGTGATCTATGATTGTGCCACTGCACTCCAGCTTGAGTGACAGAGTGAAACCTGGTCTCAAAAATATATATATACATATATGTATATATGTATATACATGTATATATGTGTATGTATATATGTATATATGTATGTATATAAACTTTTAAGAACAATACATCTATATTCATGAAGTTATTCAGGTTAACATTTAAAACTGTAATAAAAGCATAAGTGTATAAATTTTGTGTGTATATTCATGTATGCACGCAGAAAAAACAGAGAACGTATATATATTCTGTTTTGGGCTCTTTACATTAATCTGACTCAGCCAAGATGCTGTAGGCTCATATCCTAATGTAGATACACTGATCATTACCCGAGGCTATTTAAGGCAGTTACCTTGGACTTGATTTTGCTCTAACATTGTCTTTGAATGTGAGGGACTGGGTCCAGTCTGTCTCTGGCCCTGTAGTTGACCTCATGTTGTCCCATTTTCTCACTTACTTCATCCTTACACCACTCTAGAAGTGCCTAGTTCAATCTGCACATCTTCCACAAAGCTTTTCTGGGGTGATTTAGGCTGCATGTATTTTTCACCTCTAGCAATTTTTGATAGCATGAACACTTCAAGTCTCGCTAGAATATGTTGGCTGGTTTAGATGTTTGTGTTTAAGACTCTTTTCAAACTAATATATCTAAATTAATTAACATAATTCTCATACGATCTAAAAGATATCTCCAATGTTATACACACGCCAAACTCTGGAAATGTTACGAGCTATTCACAACTCACTATTTTAACAGCTGACTCTCAGATAGGGAGCTGCTAATAGCTAAGGAGGTAGGGAAACAACTTCTGTCCCTTTCTTGTGATATTACTGATCCCCTGTTTCTAGGATACTTCAATAGGCTTTACTGTCTTCTGTCCTTAAAGATCAAATTCCTAAATTTAAATGTTTCTTAACACAAGCTACAATTGAGTATAAGACTTGTAATTAGAACATATAAATCTTAGTGATAGCAAAAGACGTAGGAAGTCCCTGAAGAATCTGAATTTCCTTATTTTAAAAATGGAAATTAAAATGCCTGCTTCATAGAGATTTTGGGAAGGATGGTAAATGAGATAACGTGTGAAAGTATTTAGCATCTACTTGGGGCCTAGACTGTCAAATAGAAGGTATGTTTAATATGTACATTTTGAATGTATTTTTAAATGGTTTGGAAAAGATACAGGATAAGGAGAATGAGTTGGTTGTAAGTTCTGTGACTTAAGAGAAAGGGCCTTTGTCTATGAATGAACTTATATTAGCTTTCAGTGTGAGGGAGGAAGGACACCTATGTGGGTACTGTGGGGAGGAAGAAGGGATTGTTGACATTTCATCATTCCTACCCTCAATTTCTTTAGCCTAGATGCTATTTTCATATGGCTCTCTCCTCACTGGGTCTGTTTTCCTCAAGGTCACTGAGGATCTTACCTTAGATTATCCCATGTGGGATAGCTCTTCTTCTGTCAAAAGCCTATGATTTATTGTGGACCAAGTTCAAGTCTTGCTTCTTCCAAGAAATCTTAACTTACTATGGCAATCTTGTTCTTTGTCCTCATAACTATATGTACTACTTCTTTGGAACCTTGCGGTATAGTATAATAGAGAGAGCATATCTGAAAAAAAGCAGAAAATCTGGATTTCAATTCTGCTTCTATCATGTACAAGCTCAATTACCTAGAGCAGGTCTTATCTTTTCTACCTTGGTTATATGTAAACTGTTGAGCTACCCTTAATATTCTTTTTGTTATTTCTCACATGGTAATCGCCAGCATCCTGGTTGATCTGATAAGAACCCAAGGAAGAGGAAACTAACATTGCTTATATATCTATTGCCAGGTTCTTTCCTATGTGTGCCATTGATAAGTAAAGAGCATCATTTCATACCAAGCTGTCCTTAGTATCTAGGAAGGAAGGAAGGAAGTTCTATGTCAGTGCTTACTGATTCCTGCTCCAGTAATATTTCTCTGGCATCTGGGTTTCTGTGTCAGCCCTTCAGCTGCCAGTTGAATAGATGACCATCCCGTTTAGAAATAGGATTATTTCTATTAATGGCAAGTGGAGTCATTTCTCTAGAAAGGGATATTTAATACAATTATAAAATATTTGGCTTGGAAGGAATTTAGAATAACATATCTGAAGATTCATTTTCTGTGTGAAAAACCCTAATTCCCCAAAAGACAAGGTCACTTACCCTATGTTTTCCTAGAGACAGCTGAGAAGGAAGGAAAGAAATAAGGTTACCTGAGATGAAGCCGGGCAATTCCAACTAAGTCTGTGATATTAGTCAAATAATTTAATTTCTCTAAGCTTCAACTTCTTAATCTGTAAAGTAAGACTAGTAATACTTTCCTAAGAAAAAATATGAACTCAAATATTAGGTAACTTACATTTGCACATCTGGCTATTGACAAGGCTTGCAAAATAATTTAGGTTTCATATTTATTGTTGCTTTCAACTCAATTTATGAAAAAAAAGATGTGTATTTTTTTTACTTTATATGTGTCTTATCTCATATTTTAAAATTCATTTCCTTTTCTTTCTCCAGGCATGCCTCTTCACTAAATTCACACTCTATCACACAGTCTCAAGATGCTATACAGATACTTCTTTTTAGACTTTGAGCCTTCATGAGAGGAACATTGAAAGGTACAAGAAAAATCTCTGCGCGTGTCTTTTAAATAAATATTCTGTTTTTTTGTTTTTCCCCAAAGATAAACCTCTATCCTGGTAAAGCTCTCTTTCAGTTCTCCCTAGTTTCATAAATCATTTCCCTGCACCCAGAATTACAGTGGTTTGTGGAAGGAAACATAATTAGAAGCCTCAGTAACAGTAATATTTCATTAAAAAGAAACAATAAATGATGACACATTACACATGATTCATATTTATCTAACTTTCAGTCTTTTATTCATAGGAATGTCTCTTTAGAAGCAGAAATGTCCACAGGTTCGTGGAAAATCAGTTACCGTGAGTCAGTTTATATCCAGTTCAGAGCACGTGGGGAGAGAGAAACGCCCTGTGTGAGGGGAGCAGACTTCAGCCAAAGGAATATGAGTTAGTTTGTGCAATGGCAGGTTTCACTAGAGAAATCCTTACATCCTACCAACCTATTGGTGTGGCTGACATTTCTGCAGTTTTTTGTTTTGGCCTTTCGAGGTCCTATAGTAAATGGGACATACATAACTTTGTGTGTCTGCAACAGTGAAGGACACCTCAGCTTAGTGAGTGTCAGTGAATGTAGGCCAGGAATAGAACATGCAACCAGTAGGTTCGATTTAAAGGCTTTTACAGTGATGTGGAGGACTGGACCAGGCAGTGTTGCCCCAAAAGGCAGGGGCTGCACATCTATGAAGCATTAGAAAGGCATAGAACAGGAACAGAAAGTCTCCATCCAAGTTTCTAACAAACAGAAAGGGAACAGTGACAAAGTAATGTTTACTGCTAAAGCACACTTCAGCAATTTCAAAATTGTACCTAGGAATAGGCCTCCTCTGAGAATTTATAGCACTACTGAAAACGAATACAAGCCTCTGTTTCCTATGGGGTCTGTGATTTCCACTGTTACTGATGAAAACTTTTAATTACTTCATTAACTTTACTCTCTTTTTCTCTCCCTTCAACTTCAGACAAAAATTACAGTCTTTAAGAAGTTACTGTCCTGAGGCTCTACACCTGCCCACAATTACCATGGAGACCGTGGATGACAAATATGTTTGGAATACGCCAGTCCCCTAGAGGGAGGCAGCTGCTTCTGGCAAGTAGGAGGCCCAGGGAGAGTTGTGAGTGGGAATTCCTGCCTCTTCTCCCAAGCGGGCAAGTCTTGTCTGGGCGATGCCTAAAGTTTCAAATTGCTGCCTGGAGGTTGATGCTGAATAAAGTTAAAAGGTCACAAAGTAAAAGTTAAAGGCTAAAAACTCTGACTCCCCAAGCCAAAGCCATGGGTTCATTTTGTAAATTCAGTCAAAAATAGGGTCAATCTGGTAGAAGACAAAAACCAAAACAAAACTAGGCAAATACTTTTTAGACTACACTATTCATCTTTACTGACTGGTAAATTTATTTCAAACAGAAAAATATTTTCAGATACTATTTCAGTTGAACCATTCTGGAAGCACAAATTGATAAAAACACCAATTCTCTTTCTCTTTGAAAAAAAACAAAACTGATAAATGAGATAGTCCATTTTTTCCCAGTCCTTCAAAACAGAAGTTCCAGCAGACATTCATGCATTCTCAGAGTCCAAAGGGCTACAAGTTCACTGTCAGAAAATTAACTCTCATGAAGAAAGTGTGTTTGGGAAAGGTACAATGGTGATCATTTCCATTATAAAAGAAGTCAGGGCATCACAAAGAAACTAGGCATCTCAAAAAATAAATAAGAGGGACTGAAAGGAGGAAAAAGGAAAACGTTTACCTACTTTACAATTTGTCCAGAGTCTTTGGGAAAAAAAAAATTTGTGGACAAAGGAGGGATGAATCCTATTATGGGGATTTGAGAATACTGTTCTCACACCCAGTGAAATTAAACTGTATTTTTAAATTTTAGAATGTGATAAGGTTCTGGAAAAAAATTTCTGCTATAAAAGAGTTTTTTTATAAAACTCTTTTTAATTTTTGTTAATTGCCACAACAAAGGGGAAATGGAAAAACAAAGAACTGTTGTAAAGCTAAGTCTTTGTATTCAAATCTGACTTCTGAGTATCTCAGGCTAGGTGATAATGGTGTGCTGACTAAGCAGCCTAGACATTAAGACTCTTGTTAAACTTTCTGTCATTATCCAGTTGAGCGTTCTTAATAAACATAATTCAATTTCCATATTTACAAAATATATACAATTTCCACCTCATAGGAATGGCACAAGCATTGAATAGGAAAAGATTTATAAAAGAACTTAGAAAGCTAAACATCTCATAAAAAGATAAGACACTGATATTGGTCTCAACATTCATAATAATAAATATATTAAGTCCTTATACAAACTGCTTCATTTAATCCCATAACATCCCAATAAGTAATAGATTATTATTAATCCTGTCTTAAAGGTGAGGGAACTAAGGTTTAGATTCTCTGGATTTTAAGACATTACCAAATATGTAACACTATTAAGTTAGAAATTAAGATGACATTGAAATATTGTTCTCTTTCTTTCTCTCTCAAAAAGTTGTATTTGTGACAAAGATAAAATTTCTGTTTAAGAAATCAATCTAAAAGCTTAAACATCATTTTTAAATTTATTGGTTTTTTAAAAAGCTACCTAAGTAACGCACACCAATGTGTCACAAGTGAAACAATACACAAGTGTACAAAGGTAAGCTTAATAATAATGATAATAATAAATAACACATAAGTTTGAGGTAAACTGTGTTCTGAGTGGTTCTCCCAACTGAAGAGTGGTAAACACTGTTTTGTAGGTCAAATTTTTATTTCATTTTCAATACCTATGCAAAAAGTTTGTCACAAGTGTACAGATGATGAATTTTCACGAAATTAATACACCTACACAACCAACATGCAGGTAAGAACAGAGGTGCCATCACTATGGAAGCCTCTCTTGTGCCCTCAGGTACCCCTGCCTCCCAAGGGTGACCACTACCCTGACTTTCTACACCATAGGTGGATTTTGCCAGTTTCTGAAATTTATATACTTGTAATCATGCTTGCAATATAGTATTTTGTGTCTACTCCCTTTTGCTTAACGTGATTGTGATATTCACTTCGTGGTGCTCTCTGTAGTTGGAGTTCGCTCATTTTATTTACTGTATAGTATTCCACTTGTAAATCTGTTACTTTTGATGGACATTTAGGCTGTTTTCAGTTTGGACTATTACAAGCAATGCTGCTATGGACATTCTTATCCATGTTAGGTGAACATCTGTGTGCTTTCCCATTGCATTTGTATGTAGAAAACCGTCAAAAGGTATTCTGGTGTTCAGGACCGAAGATCTTTCCAAAATGACTGTACCACCATCAAATAAAAAATTGAGTCATTCCACATTCTCTCCAACACTTGGTAGTGTTTACTTTTTGTTTATTTATGTATTGCCATTTCTGTGGGTAGATATGGGTATTATGTTGTAGTTTTAACTTACACGTTTTTGATGTCTAATAAAGTTGAGCACATTTTATTTATTTATTGGCCACAGAAATATTTTCTTTTGTAAAATGCCTGTTCAGATCTTTTGCCAATAGTTTTTAACTAGGTTGTCTTACTGATTTCGAAAGTTACTGATATATTGTGAATATGAGTTCTTTGTTGAATATATGTTTTGCACAATCTTCTTCCATTTTGTTGTTTTTTTCACACTTTTAATGGTATCTTTTGATTAATAGAAGTCATAAATTTTAGTGAAGTCCAATGAATTAAAATTATTCTTTGTGTAGGTGATTTTGTGTATTTTTTTAAAAATACTTTTTTGTACATCAAGTTTATGAAGGTATAATCTAATTTTTTCATCTAAAACTTTATTGTTTTTCTTTTTCCATTTTAAGCCTATTATACATCTGAATTTGATTTTTGTATAGGTGTAGGGTAGGCACAAGAATTTTTCTTTTTTTTCTTTTCTTTTTTTTTTTTTAGACAGAGTCTTGCTCTGTCACCCAGGCTGGAGTACAATGGTGCAATCTTGGCTCACTGCAACCTCCACCTCCTGGGTTCAAGCGATTCTCCTGCCTCAGCCTTCTGAGTAGCTGGGATTACAGGTGTGTGCCACCATGTCTGGCTAATTTTTGTATTTTTAGTAGAGACAGGGTTTCTCCATATTGGTCAGGCTGGTCTCAAACTCCTGACCCCGTGATCTGTCCACCTCGGCCTGCCAAAGTGCTGAGATTACAGGCATGAGCCACCATACCAGGCCAAGAATTCATTTTTTTATATGGATATCGAAATGATCATATATTGGAAAGTTTATTCTTTCCTCTCTGTATGGCAGTATCACTTTTCTCATAAATCCATTAAATATGTGAGTCTTTTTCCGGATTCTATAATCATCTATTGCTTTACTTATCTATATTTATGTTAATACTATACTGTCTAAAATACTGTCATTTTATAATAGGTCTTAATATCTAATATTATAAATGTCCCACTTTGCTCTTATCCATAAAGATTAACTTGTCTATTTTTCACCATTTGCATTTACATATATATATTGGAATAACATTGTCAAATACATACACAGACACACACACACACGATTTTCCAGAAACTTTAAATGAGAATATTTTGAATTTACAAATGAATTTGTAGAAAATTCATATCTTTTAATATACTGAGTTTTTTGATCAGTAAGCATGTATATTCCTCTATTTCAGTCTTCTTAAATCTGTTTCAATAATAAATTGTTTTCTGTGAGGAAGTCTTGCAAATACTTCTTATATTTTTTCTACGTATTTTACCTTTTTGATGCCAGTGTAAATGATGTTATTAATTAAATGTTATTTTCTACTTATTTGTTGCCAGTGTGTAGAAATATGCTTGATTTTTAATAGTTCTATTGAGGTATAATTCATAGACCATACAATTTACCAATTTAAAGTATAGAATCCATGTTTTTTTTCTAAAGGGTTGAGTTGTATAATCATAGCGCAAACCAATTTTAGAACATTTTTCCTTCCTCAAAAGAAACCACGTACCCATTATCAGTCAATTCGTAATCTTCCTCTATCCATCCACCCCATGCCTCTACCTAAGCCCTCAAAAGCTACTAATCTACTTTCTGGCTGTATGAATTTGTTTATTCTGAATATTTCACACATATGGGATCATATGTGAGCTTTTCTGTCTTTTTTCACTTAGCATACTATTTTCAAGGGTCACCTACATTGTAGCATGTACAGTACTTTATTTCTTTTTATTGTCAAATAATATTCCATAGTATAGATCTATGATATTTTATTTAAATATTCATCAGATGTACATTTTGGTTGTTTCAACTTTTGGTTATTATGAATAATAATAATGCACTCATGCATACGTTTTGGTGTGGATATGTGATTTTATTCTTCTTGACTATGCATGTAGGACTTGAATTGCTAGATAATATATTCATTCTATTTGAAATATTTTGAAGAATTGCCAAACTGTTTTCCAAAGTGACTGCACCATTTTACATTCCCACCAGCAATGTGTTTGGGTTCCAATTTCTCCACATCTTCAAGTATCTGTCTTTTTTATTATATTAGTATCTGTATATTAGTATTTTGTGATGTTAGTGTCTTTTTATTATAGCCAATAAATGGGTGTGAAGTGGTTTTCAATTGTTTTGATTCGCTTTTCCCTATGACTAATGATGTTGGGCACCATTTCTTGTGCTTGTTATCTATTTGCATTGTTTCTTTGTTGAAATGTCAGTTCAAATTTAATTTTTAATTGGGTTATTCGTCTTTTACTATTGAATTGAATGAGTTCTTATATATTCTGGGTACAAATCCCTTATCACATGTGTTGTGCAAATGTTTTCTCCCATTCTGTGGGCTGTCTTTTCACTTTCTTTATTGCATTGTAATCAGTTTTCACTTTGATATAGTACAACTTCCTGTTTTGGTTATTTTTACTTGGTTGGACTTTTGGTTTTGTGTCTAAGAAAACACTAACACAAGTCATGAATACTTAATTTCTATGTTTTCTTAATTTTTGATTGATAAGTAAAACCTAAATGTTTATGATGTACAACAGAATATTTTGAAATATGTATAGATTGTGGAATGGCTAAGTCGAGCTAAATAACATGCATTATCTCACATATTTATCATTTCTATGGCAAGAACACTTATCTACCCATTTGGCAATTTTCAGGAATTCAATATATTGTTATTAACTAGCCACTACGATATACAGTAGACCTCTTGAACTTACTTCTTTTTTCTAACTGAAATTTTGTGTCCTTTGACCATTATCTCCT